TATATATCTTTTTTAATGATAGCATTAAGTTTTCTATAGTCAATACAAATTCTCTTTTAGCCATCTTTCTTTGGCACAAGTACAATAAGAGAAGACTAAGATCCAAAGAATTCTCTAATGATTCCTTTTTCTAACATTGCTTGAATTTCTTTTTGCAGAAAGTCTTGTTCATTAGGAGGGTATTGGTAAGCTCTTTGTTTAATAGAATTGTAGCTATTTATATTAATTTTATGACAAATAATATTGGTTTATTCTAATTCTTTAGACTATCCATCTTCTAAGATATTTTCTAAAAAAATATCAATATTTTCTATTAAAAGTTATTCAGCTTGAGCATGTTGGTCTTTGGTAAGTTTCAGATTTACATTTAGATTTGGGTTTTCTATAGAATAGATCTTTTCTTTTAACAGTTGAGTTAGGTAAAAGGCTGAAGTAGCTTCTATTTCTGATCAGGAATTGTAATACATTTCATCAATTACAGAAATTTATTCTTCTAAATGATAGGTTTCTATTTCTTCTTTTTTATCTAGTTTATCAATCTATTGATCTTCTTTATTCTCATTTATTTCTTCTAAGATAGGATAAGAGTTGATAGTATAAGTAGCATTGATAGTAGCTTTCTTTTCCAAATATTGAATATTTAAAGTATTGTTTTCAAAATTTAACTTGGCTCTTGACTTGTTGAACCAATCTGTTTCCAGAAAAAGAGTTTTATTTATGGATTCAATTACTTGAAGATTAATAAAAATAATAATATCTTAGATAGTAATCTTTATATCAAGAATGATTTCTAAGATTTTGGTACAATTTCTATTGATAGTAACCACAATAGTTTTAGAAGGTTTTTGGATTTGAAGTTCTAATTTTCTTATAAGCTTGACTGTGATTATGCTTACAACTGCTTTTGAATCAAGGATAGCAATAACAGGGTTTCCTTTAATTCAAATATGACATCTCATTGCTATGATCTTTTTGAAATAATCAGTTTCAGCTTGCTTTGTTTCAGTAATAGGTTTCTTTTTCATTTATAAAATTTTTGTAAGATTTTTATACTGAGCTGGAAGTTATAATCATTGTTCAATGATAACAAAGGATTTCATGTTCAGAATGTTAGTTGGGATATTATAGAGGGATATATTTTGAATTTTGGTTTTGGTTTGGTTCCTTTTGTAACAGGTACTTCAATAGAGATTTCCATAGGAATTTTATCTATTTAAGTTTCAGGTTTATCTAATATAACAGTTCTGTTTCTAAGTTAAATTCTCTTTAGGATTCAGAATTTTTGTTTGAAAACTCAATTTGTTTTTTGTTAGTAAAATAGGATTGATTTCTTGATGTTTTGGTAATATATACTTCATTAATATTATTATCTTCTATTCCAATGTAGTTGATATTTTTTTTTCTATTATCCTAATTTATTTGCTTATATTGACTTATAGTAGGTTGTTTTTTAGCTAGACAATCTTAAACATAATGTCCTTTTTTTCACAGTTATAGCAAGTAATCAAAGGTCTCTGGTACTAGTTTCTAGATTGAAATAAGGTCCTAAGTTAATATTGGGTTCTGAATTGGAATTTTTGTTGAATTTTAGATATAAATTCAGTAAGTATTAATGCAATAATTGCATAATTAAAAGTCATTTGTTACATTTATTTGATTAGATTGTCAATATCTTTTTTCAAATTTTTATTAGTAGTAGCTAAACTAGATTCATTTCAAGTAACAAAATATTTTCTTTGTTCAAATCTTTTTACAAATTCTAAAGTTTTAGTTACATTGTTAGAATTATGTATAAGGATAATAGGAAGGGTTTCTGAACAGAGTCCCTTATTAAAATAATATAATTTTTGAATATTAGTTAGGTTGTTATTAGTTTCTACTCAGTAGACAATTCTTTTATATCAACTGTAATAGGTTTCAACTGGTTTAGTAAAAAGTTATTTTAATTTATCTAGATTTCTTATATATTTATTTTTCCAATGTTGATTACAAAATTGTGCAATAAAAGTAGCTTTTGTTGTATTTCAATCATTTACTGCATTATTAATAGTAACGTTTGCAGTATAATAAGTTTGTTGCCATATATCAGTATTTTCTCTAAGAAAAGCTGTCATAATTTTTCTTTATTTAATAAGGTTCCAGTTATTAGTAATTGAAGCTTTTTCAAAATCAGTAATCTAGACTAAAGGGTCTTGAGTTTCATCTTTTTGAAAAGACTTAATATGAATAACATTTTTATCTTTTTTATTTTCTTTTAAAAAATCAAGAATATTATCTGTAGTAGCTATGATATTTTGAATTTGTTGATTAGGTAAAGGGTTAGGTATGTGTTATTGGGGATTAAAAAATATTTCAAAGAAATCACTATAATTTTTAAAGTCAAGATAGTAGAAGGATTCTAAATCTTCTTCTTTTAATATGAAAGGATTCTTTTAATAACAGTTAGTATAGACAGTTAAAAATGCTATATTTTTAATAATATCAATAATATTTTCAGAAGAATTAGAATATCTAAAACTAAAAATAAGTTTGAAGATAGTGTTCTTTAATTAAAATAGGTTGAGTTAAATATATATTTGTTTAATCTGATTGAAATATTCTATAAATTTGGCAAAAAAGTCATAAACAAAATATTGTCTAATGTATTAGAAATAAAAGTTTTGAAAATCAAAAGATATAGTTGTAATTATAGAATAACAAATTTTATAAGAATCATTTGGTTTAGTAATAGATAGCTGAGTGGTATGTTCTTGGATATATATAAATATTTTTAATAGGTATTTTTCAAAGTTGAATTGCATATATTATCAATTTAGAAGCTGTTTATCACAATACAAATACTTATACTTTTATTTCTAAATTCTAATTTTTAAAAATTAATAAATATTTCTTGAAATTACTATAATTACAGGTTTTGTCATTTAAGAGAAAGTTGTAGAGAGAATCCTTCCAGTTCTAAATAAGGTCAAAATGCTAAAATCAGTCTAGTGATTACTGAGATATAGATGTTTGAAGTTGATATAATGATAGTAAGAATGTTTTTTCAAGAAAGATTTCTTGTAAATTCTTTATAGATCAAAAATATCATCATTATTTTGATGTTGAATAGCAGGTTCCAGAAAAATTTCTCACTAAGATATGCTTAGTAAAAAAGATGCAATAGGTTTTCATATATATACTCTTCAAATTTCAGATCAAATAGACTAATATTGATGGAGTTTTCTTATAACTAACTAAAAATTAATTATCTATGATGAATTGAGAACTTATCTCATACTCATCATCAATAGATTAACTTATAATTTTTCCTTTAATCATAATGATAACAGAAACTGTTCAACTATAATATAATGACTATAACTTGACAGATTCTATACAAAAATCTACACAAGACTTAACAAAATATAGAATGATTTGGGATTTTAAGACAGAGACAACAATAGATAATATATGAAGATACTAAATATTACATTCAGTTTATTAATTATGAAATGTATGAAGACACTTAACTTTCTTGAAAGGTCAGAAAGTAATGCTTTTATAGATATTTTATATGTATAAATTATTACAATAAAGACTACTCTATTGCTAATAAATACTATTTATAGTAATAAGAACTAATAGATATAATAGATATAATATATATAATAGAAATAAGTTTAATTTTGCAAAATTTAGTAAAGACAACCATAACTATGAGATGAGTGATACATACTTTCTGTTTAATAGATTAATTGTGAGATCACCAAAGGTGACAGAAGTAATTCTCCTGAATTGAACATTTAACAATGGACCGTTGTTATCAACCTGCAAAGGTTAATCTAATAAGTTTCTTTAGATAAGGTTGTCAGTTCTGGAGGAAGGATTGGTTTATGTACCTTCTAGTAAAGAAACTACTACTTAGCAATATTCGTTGACCAAATCAATTTTTATTATATATTTAGGACCAAAACAAAGAAAACAATGTTTGACACGTATTTTTTTCAGTAAGATTGGAAGTACGGGAAGTACGGGATTAAAGTTAAAGTTGACAGGTGAAACCTTTCAGCATGACAACGAGACGAACCTTATTTTCGAATCTTTTACATGACAGATGAATTTTTAATCGCTGATAATAACAAATCGTGGAGAAAGAATTTTACAAACATTTCTGAATTTAATTTATGCGTGTATCTATGTGCCTATAACAGATAAAACATAATTACTACCGTATTTTCGTGTGATAACGTCCAAGAGCGTTATCTCGAATTTTGCCGAATTAAGCCAAAATTCGAATTATCCCTGCGTGTTATTACGCGAAAATGCGGTACTTGATTCGGTGATGTGACATTTATTGATAATAAAGGTATTCTTTTAAAAAGTGGGTGAAATTTGAAAGAAGCAAGCCTGAGAATAATATAAAAAAATTGTTCATGGCGTTATAACGTGAAAAAACATATAAGTTTGAAAAAAATAACTTGATACAACATCTTACTCGGCATAACTGTAAAAATGGTTACGGATTACAAAAAACACATATACTATAGTATTATGAAAAATCGAATTCTTGAAGATTTATAGATATGATTTGAAACGAGTAAAGAACACATACAAATATTTCTCTTGAAAAATTAAAGAAATCATTGGAATAACGCAATATTTAAATCAAAATAATATATATATATTTATAAGTTGTGGAAGTACTTAATACATACGTTTTAAATCAATATGAACAATTACTTGTGGATTTAAAAAGGAAATTGGAAACTATACCAAATAATTTGTTCACATTTATAAATTGCACACCAATATTCAGCAAATGGTTTTGTTTATCACTAAATAATTTATTACAATTTATTCATATCCCTTTCGCTTAATCATCCATTCGTCATCCATTATCATCCATTCATTATCTAGCATTAATGATAACTTTCAATTAGGACTAAAACTCCTAAGAATTATGTTATTATTCTTTAATACAACAATAAATTGCATTCCATCTTCGAATTATTTGTGATACATCAATCACTGTCTTCTATCACGGGATTACTTTGAATATTATCATTATCATCATCACCACTGTGCGTATTACCATAAGTGACGTATTCATCATTAAAAACACAATCTTGATGAACTATTTCGACAACACGTTCAGGAGAAACAACTTGTACACCTAATCTATCAGTATTTTCCTTTTCTTTTTCTTCGTTCTCACTTATTTCAAATGATCTTGGTGAAGTCTCACTCATTTCAAATAGTCTTGGTGAGTTCTCACTCATTTCAAATAGTCTTGGTGAATTCTCACTCGTTTCAAATGATCTTGGTGAAGTCTCACTCATTTCAAATGATCTTGAAGTCTCACCCATAAATGCTTTTCTTGACGAAGAGCTATCTTCTATTTGAGAATACCTTTTACCACCTTTCAATTTAAGGGAACCCTTTCTAATACTACTTCTCCTCTTAAGACTTGCAATAGTTTTGTTCGAGATACTTTTAGTTCTATTGATATTTCCAAGATTATCGTGATCATCAATATTAAAATTGATGTTTTCGTGTTTTTGTAAATGCCAATTCACACAAATTAAAAGTACAAAACTGCAAAAATATAACCACATGCAAATGAAGCTTATAATACGAAGTATGCACGCTAGCTGGGACAGATTAGAGGTATAAGGATAGGAGGCTGGGCATGTAAATGGAATTTTACCTATTTCTTTGAAGGTGAAGTAAGTATAAATTACTTTTTTTTCGATGGAGAGAAGAAGATTAATGTTAATTGTTAACGATAGTAATAGATATAGTTAATCGGTTGAGAAATAAAAAAACCGGCCCATACCAGGTAATAAGATCCAAATACAGGATGATAACCTTAATAATCAAGATATAAAAAACAAACATGTTAAAAATTAACGTACCAATAAACGAGTCTATGTAAATGAAAATACAATATAAATTCTATACATTACTATATATATTACGCATTCAAATAAATAAGAAAATGAATGTAATAATACAATAATACAAAGGTAAGTACCTTAGTGCAATATCAAGTTTTCGGATGTCAAACCCGCAGCATTCAAGAAATGTAAAAAAACTCAATGCTATATGTTTAAATGAATTTAAAAAATTTAAATAAAAATTTATACGAGATATCTCTAATTCGAGATGAAAAAGAAATAGTTACCGAGTACAGCCCATGTAAATATTAAATATCTAAATGAAACATAAATAAATAAATAAAAACAAAAACTAGAGTATTAAATTAGGGAAAATAAAGGCTTACGAGTACTCAACACCTTTGTTGTAAGTGATCTCGTTTTGAGGTACTTCATAAATACTGATTTTTAAAGTTTCTAAATTGAAATTCATAACAAGAATTTGGAATGATAAAATGGTAGTAAATTACCAAACTTGTAAAAACATGATTCAAAGAATAATCGACAAACCTACCAAGCATGGGACAAACAAGTGTCAAAAGGATATTTGTCATGATTAACAGGTATAACCAAATTGAAATTTCTTTTTTTCTTTCAACAATGAGTTTGAAGAACATTTCCTTTTACGTATAAAAGAAATTATATTAATCATAGGTTTTTTTTGGTTAAAACATGTTTTTCCTCAACTAGAATACCTTTATACAATGTTGAATTTTTCAAAAGTGGTAGGATCTAATTGAGTCACCGTCGAAACAAATATACGATTCCTGTATAAACGACAATATAATGTGTAAAAGCCACCTAACCGCTCTTAACAACCTGATGTGCTGGTTTGGTAATACAGTCAGCAAGATGATTTTCAATAACTAAAAAAAAAACACTAATACTAATTTCAAAAAAGAGCGTCACCATAAATTTGTTTTAAAACAAGAGCAACGAAGAGGTGAAAGTATTTAGAAACATTTGTGGCTTCTTATCAATATTTGAGGCTTCTCATCATGTTACTCAAATCGGCTGTTCTCTTTTTTTGTGAATGTAGCCAATAATCCACATCCACACTGTGTAGAATTAGATCCAATTCATTATACAGTGTAGTTACGATATTGTAATATTTACATACATTAGAACATATTAGACACATTAGGACTCTTATGTTTTTTATTCCTTAAGTTGCATTCAATTCAGAGCGTTTGTAATAAAGACATAGAATGTGTAAAAACATTGGATGTGATAAGAATTTATTACGACTTTTACAGCAGCTTTTCTTGAACTCTAGAAAGCTGTTTGATTTGGTTTTGTATATATATATATTTTGCAATATATCATATCATATCGCAATATTACAAAGAGCTTAAAAAGATTATCAAATATTTTATAGCAAAAGGAACACAAACTAATGTACGTTAGTACAACATAACAGCATACATCTAAATAAATCAATTTCGACAAATTCTACCTATAAAAAAAAATGTCATGCCAAATTAAGATTAAAATTAATGTTAAGGTTAGAGTAGGTGCATACGTAGTAAACTTTTAAATCATGCAATCGGGGATCATTGTATCCATAGAAAGACCGGAATGTACTGTACGTAGGCTCGGATTCGAGGTTGTCATAAAAATTGTTAATTGAAAAAAATTTTTTTATCGATAGTTGAAACTAGATTTGACTTTCGCCAGTGCAAAACATCCAAATTACACCTAACAGCTATTATCTCTAAGATGACGTTTATTTCAATAAATATGTTACTAATAAACACAATGCAAAATTTATAACAAGCTGTGTTTATATAATAGTGATTTCCCTCCGCAATAAGCCATCCATTCGTTCTGATAAAAGATTGGAGTTATGGACTACAAAATATTAATTGATATTTGAGATCTTTGTCATCGTATATATAATCCAGACGAAAGAATTTAATATAATTGCAAATCTCTAGTTCTTGGTCCATCGATATGCAAATAAAAAAAAATTTAAAGTTACAAATGTTTCACCAAATATCCATGCATTTATTTAGTACCCGAATTATACCTTATTATAGTTTATTTGTAAGACCGAATTAATTACAGTTACAAAAATCAATTGATCATTTTTTCTAGATTTTTTGTTTCAGCTGACATTTTACGACTCTTTAACCAAACATTATGGAAAATGAATCTGTTGAATCCTCATCAGAGGATCAGTATATTGCAAATATTAAGAGTGTCGCTTCTTTAATAACTTCTCAAACTTTCAATTGTAAATTCACCGCCCAAAATGCTAAAACATATAAAAGTGATTGTGTATCTTTTGCGGGACGGTTACAAACCATTGGTGAAAAATCTAAAGAATTTTTAAATGTAATAGAAAAAGAGGACCCTTCGATTATTGGATTGAAATGGGACTTAAAAGGAATAGTTAATGGATTGGAAAGTGTTAAAGGTGATTTTTGATGATCATTAGTGAACGAATTAAATATTTTATTACTTTACTAATATTTTATTTTTATAAAAATAGCCATTGTGATGGATGTTCGTATGTTCATACAACAACAACAACTTCCCGTGCGTCCCAATGCTGTGCCTAATCTCGCAGAAAATTTTAGAATACAGCATCTAATTACAGATCTTAATCGACGTCTTGATAATGCTATCGGTTCAATATCTGTTGCTTTTTCGCCCATGAAAATTCAGAAGGAATTGTCTATCGAAGAACAGGAAGAATTTTTGAAAAAATTAAAGGATGATGTTGAAAGGGAGTTGAAAGTATTAGAAGAAAAACGAAAAGAAGATGGAAATAAAGATCAGGCCACTCGTTGGCTAGAAATTGCGATCGAACAACAACATTTAAGATTTATTAATTATAACCAGATCGTTATTGACAAGTTTTTGATGAAAGGAGGGTGAGTTTCTTTTCGAGAATTTGATTTGAATTTTAATTTTAAAAAAATTGAATTCTGATTATTTATGTTTTAGGTTTGGTATTGTACATCTTGCTTATTGGGATGATACTCCCGTTGTATTAAAACAACTATTTGACCAAAAAGATTTCATTGATGAAATTAGGCTACACAAGCGCGTTCACGATGGTGATTATATAGTAAAATTTCATGGTATCACGAGGGATACTGATGGTAATTTGGGAATGATTATGAAATATGCGGCGAATGGTAACCTTCGAGATTATCTAAAACATAAAGACACTTCATTATCATGGTATCAGCGGGTCCTATTGGCTAAACAAATTACAATTGGATTATCTTTTATTCATCGCGAAAAAATATATCATAGAGTAAGTGATAACTATATATTTGTATACCGAAATCAAATATAATCTTTTCCAATTAATTGAATCGATTCTAATTCTATAATTAGGACTTTCATAGTGTAAGTTAAACAATTATATTTTATATAGTAATTGTATTTATATTGATATTATTAATTATTTAACTCGAATATTCTTAAATAGGGTAATATTCTTGTCGATGAAAACGGTGGTCCCATGATCACTGACTTTGGTCTGTCACGTGTCTCAGATCGTGATAAGCGTGCATCTATGTCCGAAAAAACTTTTGGATTGGTATCATACACTGCTCCAGAGCGGCTCAAAAATTCTAAATACCCATTTGATGATAGATGTGATATATATTCGCTAGGGGTAATATTCTGGGAAATTTCCGCATGTCGTAAACCATTCAATGGTCAAAATGACTCAAATCTGGCGCTTAAAATCATACTTAACGAACGGGAAACATTTTCTCCTGATACACCAGAAAAGTATGTTGATTTAGTTAAGAGTTGTTGGCATGATGATCCTTCAAAAAGACCAAAGATGGCAATAATAAAACAGTCTCTTAATGAGATTTTAATGAATTTACCTAGAGAAAATACTAATTTGGTGATAGAACAAGTTATAAATGAAGTTGAGGTAGATGTACCGTCATCGGACATGTCAATTCCAAGCTCTGATTATATTACAGTTCCAGCTTATGATAGTCAAGTTCAAAATAAGCATGAAACGGCAGAAATCGATGGATCATTATATTTGAGCGCCTTAGAGGAAATTGATTTATAATACAAATACATATTTTTTTGCATTTACTGCTGTTCCGATTTTTCTTTTTCGATTTCTAGAATCAATTGTTTTCAATTCATCATTAATAATAATAATGTTGGTCTACGACCTATAAAATATTCTATACTCCTTGAAATATCTTTATTTAATAAAAATAGTATAGCTTTAAAATGAATCAACGTTTTTATAGAAGCAATATTTTAAAAACTGCTTGGCAATTTTATAGAACTTATCGTGAAGAGAAATTACCGATCAGATTTTTAAATTTTGTTTTTGTAAACAATTATAACATTTTAAAATCTATTTAAATTGAAACATATAATAAGTAATTATATATAAAACAATAGTAATCTTTAAAATGCAACAACTTTTTATTAGAGATGGGTTTCATGCGTGCGCATGATTGCGGAAACATGCGCATGATACCGTTCCATGCGCATTTTATCCCATCAAGATTTCTCTCCTATCGATCGTTTTTTCCTTTTTTTTATCATGCGATATCATGCGCATGAAACATTTCGTGCGCATTAATGCGCATTCATGCGCATGTTATTTTAAAATGCGCATTTTTCCCATCACTACTTTTTATACAGAGAATTTTTAAAAAATATTTGGCAAATTTGTGGAA